ATTCCTGACTAGTCTTATGGTGAATAGAAGAAATAGATTCAAGAGACAATGAACAACCTAAGATTCTTGATTCAATGAAGGCAAATTGGTTACATCCAATATAATGAAGCCGAGATGGGCACAAACCATAAGTACAAAAACATAACCTTTGAAGACCAACAAATTTATAGAAAGAATAAAGCGAATCTTAATCTTATAATGAATGCCTAACATTGATCTGCTCCCATGTCCAGAAAATTGGGTGATCGCAATAATAATGTCCTAAGAAAGACAAATCGATTTCATCAAACTCATCACTTGTGGTTTTAATAGCCATAAATTAGAGCTCCTTCGTTCTCTTCATCATGGCCCTCAAACCTTCTAATGTCTGCAAGTAGCAGTAAAAATTCTTCAAGAGACATGTCACCGTCATCATCACTGCATAGAATTTCAAGCATCTCGTCATAACTAAGCCCGTCCTCCAAGTCTAGAATTTCCGTAGATGTATTATCTAGCATACCCATCTGATGAGATACCCTTTCAAACCCTAGATTGCCCTCAAGAGACCAGAACCCTTCATCAAATCCCCCACCTTTTTCTAGGGCACTGTTCAGTTTTAGAATATCTGTCAACAATATAGCCTGTTCATCATCCAAATCCGTCGTCACATGATCAACAACACCACTGCAAAAAGTACTCGGATTTTGATTTTCACCAAAATCAAGAAAACCCCGGATTTCTTCCTCAGCTGTACTCTGTTTTACTTTCTTGCAGAAGCCCACATTGTTTTCCCTCCTTACTTTTCTCTTTCCCAACAAACTTGACGACTTGAACTCATTCTTGTAACTGTTCTTGTCGTTCAACACGTTCTCCACGGGACTTTCAGTGAACAATTCGGACAACGAAAAGACATGGTCTAGTACTTGTTCAGGAGAAGACACGGGGCTTTCAATGAACAATTCGGACAACGAAAAGACATGGTCTGGCACTTGTTCAGAAGAAGAAGATATTGCATCATTGTTATCATCAATAAAACAGAAAAACATGGCTTCGAGATAGGACGAGTTGTCCTCGACAACACTTTCCATGTCCGACACGGAGAAAGAAAGATCGCTGGAAACTAGAGAGAGAGCGAGGGCGCTGCTCAGTGATGGCCTAATTTTTACGCCAAGTGAATTGTTTTAAAAAATTGTAGAAGTGAAAAAAAATAACAGAAACTCCCCCCCTCTTTTGTTTTCCTGTCCACGCGGCTTTGCGCTCACTGATCCTCGTAGCTTATCGGTACCAAATCCACAAAAGCAGCCCCTAATAGCCCAAAGTAAGACCAAGACCAAAGATTATGGGCCTTGTCCAACCTAGCCCACTATTATTTTAATCCTTCCTATACTCTGTAAAAACAAAACCATGTCGATCTCCCATCTACGCAAACTTGCTAAAAAATCACTGATCCCCGGATCTCTCGTCTGCCTGACCACCGCATCTCCCTTCTCTACCTTCCCCAACTTGCCAGCCTCCGCCTACTACGATGATCTGTCCAACACTGCCCGACATAAGAGAGACTTGTCCAAGCTTCGTTACCTCCTCAACAAGCGAGTGCGAGACCACTGCTTCAACACCACCAGCACCTTCAAATTCATAACCAACTCCGAGACTTCTCTCTCAATCCTCGCCGACCTCATCCAAACCCTAGCTCCCCTCGACAATGGGTTCCCTCGCAAGAGCGCGTTTGACGCACTCATCGCCGTCCCTGCAAGCTCAAACGGGTGGACGAATCTCTATTTGTTGCGGATTTCATGGCGCGTGGCGCGTTTAGATTAAATGCCGGTACCTTTCACCCCATAACCAGATGTCTAACGAGAAAGAAGAATATGGAACGCTCGTGGCGCCTGATAGAGATAATGGCAGAACCTGGGATTTTGCCGGATATAACGACGCTTAATTATTTGTTAACGGCGTATTGTTTCAAAGGGGATTTAACAGCTGCAAACGGAGTTGTGAAGAGGATTGAAGAGGAGGGGCTGGGTGTGGACTCGCGTGCTTATGACGTGCCTGTGTTGGACGCGTGTAAGGAGGGGAAAATGGAAGGGACGTTGGTGGTGTTGAGGAGGATGGAGTGCCGGTGTTGTATTTGACACGCGCGCACGTGATCAAGGCGTTGTTGAACCAAGGGTACCATGATCAAGCAGTTAAATTTGTTATGATTTGTGAAGGGAAAGCGGAGGGTTTCGATAGCGAG